TTTTATTTCAATGTTGTTTTTAATAAAGATTGTCAATCTTTGCATTTTTATTTTAATTATATGTATTTTGTTTTTAAAAAAAATATAGAATTGAAACAACAACAACAACAACAACCCAGTTGAATCCCACTACAGTAGGGTCTGGGGAGGGTGTGTGTACGCAGACTTTCCCCTACTAGAATTGAAAATGATGAATAATGTAAAAAAAATAGAGGTGCGGATTTTTAGGGCAATATCATTGTAGCATTTTGGAGAGAGTTGAAAGTTAGTAGAATGCTGATGTGTCATCTGAATTTAGAGCGGGGTGGAAATGCCCGCATTGGGAATGTTCTAAAAATTACATCTCAATTGCCCAAGATTATATGTGAATCCACAGCACCAGTTAGGGGCGAGCAAGTACCGAATCGATACCGAAATTTCTCGAAAAAACTGAGATTACTGAACCGGTAAAATACCAAAAAAGAACCGTACTGTACCGAACCAAATGGTCGGTCCGGTATTTGGGATCGGTACGAGATAACTTCACATACCGAAAAATCCCGAACCGAACATATAAACAAATACATTATAAAAATAACAATTTTTCTATATTTCTTCATTAAAAAATAAATTGTTTTTGAAAAGTTGGTTCAAGTGTAGATGAATTAAAAAAAATCTTTTATTTATATAATCATTTATTTGAATTTTAATTTTTTGTAGATTTATATAATAAAGATTTAAAAAATTTTGAAATAATTTTGTTTGTGAAATATGAAGTATAAATTAAATTATGTCTTATAAGTATTTTTGCTTATAATTATTAATTTTTTTTAATTGTTTGTCTTTTTTATTTGAATGTACTTTCAATTTTTTTAAAATAAAAAGTTTGTACATTCTAAAGTGTAAATTATTAACGTTTATATATATTCATCCCAATATTTACTGAAACTGAAACCGAACCATCCCGAACTATTATTTCGTGATCTTGATCGGTACGATGTAAAATCATATACCAAACCAAAATATTTGGTACGGTGTCGTTACGAACCAAATACTGTACCATCCATCCCGTACCACGCTCACCCCTAGCACCAGTGGCATACATATTTCAATCCCCACAATTAGAAAAATGTAAAAAAGATTAAAGTAAGAGTAAAAGATTGAAAATATATCAATAAGAGTTCTATGTGCATTACAGTGTCAATCATGACCATGTGCATTACCAAAAAGTATTGTGAAAAGTCTATATAAGGTGTTACATTATCACAATACGAACTCCTATTTTGGGGATAAAAACATAGAATTCTTATTTTGATACTTTTTCTATGTTTTACTCTAATTTGGGGTGATTTCGATCTTTAGAAAAAAGGATGAATCACATTCCCTCCCCGCACAATTGCTAGGAATCGAATCAGATCTGCCCTCTTGACACTCCCTATCTTTGCGAAGTGCACAACGCCCACCCGGCTCCCTATCTATAAGAAAATCATGCATATGGGAGTGGATAGTTCTAGGAAACAACCCCACATAATTAATTTCCCAAAAGGAACCTCAGTAAATAATAATTTGCAAAGCGACACCTTATCAATAGGACCAACAATGTCGTACAACACATTAATTTAGTAAATGAATATATAGATAAAGAAATAGAGTTCATGTCACATGCAGTCCCGGCCCTTTGTTTTTTACTGAGGAGGGAGGAAACAAGTGAACCTATTTGGCTTCTCCTGGTTCGTTGCAAAGCCCTTCATTGCAGCAATTTCTCTTTGCCTCTGGCCCGCAAGTACACATATATGTGCACCAGGCTAAGGGATGTAGGGTTAAATGAGGAGTTGGAATCCACTTACAAGAACCACATGGCTTTCGAGTGAGACAATTAGTGCCATATATGCCTTCGAGCTTAATTAATTGACAGCCTCTCTTCTTTGGACGTGGAAAGATGATGCCCATCCACTTGATATATACTACTATACTCTCTTTTTTCTTTCTATTTGGCAATCATACCACTTGATAAAAAATGTTATCTAGCAGCGTTCCTCCCTTTTTGATCCCCACTTTTTTCATTTTCCATTTATCGCCAGGAATCAACTTAAGTCAAAGTTTAAACTGATGGTTGTTGGATCGGGTCTTCGCTCGGGAGTTCGAAACGTATATACTCCCAACAAAGCGACGCATCCAATACCACACAAATTAGAGCTACAATGTCGTGCATACTACGGGTTTGTGGCGCAGTTGGTGAGTGCAATTCAGTACAAATCAATTCCGTATGTTGGAATTGAATGCGTAAGTAGCACATGCATGCTGTTACATGTTCAACTTCAATCTGATAAAATTATAATAGGAGAAAATATTATTGTATATCGAATTGTTCTGCTGATTACAAAGACTCAACCTTCTTTACCTAGGAAGAAGGCTAAACAAATAAATATACTTTTATTCTTACCATAATTCTATTTCTACTAACAGTCTAAAAAGGAAACAAATAAAGAATAATAGAAAGAAATCAATTTCTTGGCCTTGAGGTGTTGCGGCCAAGCACCTCGTAACTCAATCATTTGCTTGACGAGAAGGGGGCGGGGTGTTCCCAATCGGGACCGAGCCTAGTCACCCCACCCCCGCCGAAGCCCCTCGTGGACCACACCGCATGGTCTTAATTATTGGCCAAAACGAAAATGGTTGGGAATTATATATGGCTGATTGGACTCCAATAAAAGTAATAGTGTAGTTTTTAAAAAGTACACAAACATCATTAAAAGGCTCAGATATATGTAAAAAAGGAAGGCATCCCAGTTTCTGATAAGATGTCAAATAATGTTAGATGATAATGAAAGATGGTGAGAATTATAGAAAAGAAAAAAAAGTACCATAAAATTTATTTCTAATGTTTAAAGCATTAATCTGAGACATTATTGAGGCATCTTAACTTCATTGTATAATGATAGATGCTAAAAAGGAAACGAAACTACCCCTCACCCCCATTTGCAAATGTCCAATAAAGTACTGCGTAGATGATAAACAAGAGGATAATTGCAAAATAAGGAAATTAAAAAATTCTTAATGACAGGTGTTTTGGATCATGGCCCCTTCAAATGAATGGGACAAACCTTGGACAATGGTAAACTTAATTGTTTTTTCATCCGTCCGAAAAAACACTTCGTATTTCTATTAAAAAGTCACTTTTACCCATTACTTTTTCTTACCCAACATATCACATCATACCTTTTTACTAATAATCTACCCATCAAATCCTACTTTCACCATAACATCAAAGAACATTTTTGGAAATTCAATACCAAAATACACTCTCCTTAAATCTCTTCAAAATCAAAACATCTTATGTTTAAAGGGACGGAGGGAGTATATTGATGATTTACACTATGTTTGGTTCAAGGAATTTGAAAAGGAAAAGAAAAGAAAATGAAGTGGAAAATAATTTTTTGAGTTTGGTTGGAGAGGAAAAGTGCTAAGGAAAAAATGAGTAGAGAAATTTATTAAGTGGAGGGAAAACCAAATTCCTCCCATTTTGGTGAGGAAAATGAGAGAAAATCATTTCTTTTCTTTTCCTTCCAAAATCCTTGAACCAAACATAGTGTTAGTGTATTTACTACTTATTATAGAGAATACACTTTATTACTCTCTCCATTTTTTAGAAATGGAGAGAGTAAATAATTGGGGTAATTTACACAAATGTGACTTAAATATATCATTTTTCCTTAAATAAGATCATTCCTATATACTTTAGGGAAAAGACTTCCATATTTTTATTCTCGAAATAGGACTTACATTACCAAACATGGTCATGTACATTACCAAAAATTTATAGTAATGTGCACATGTACAGTGTCACATTACCACAGTGCAAAGTCTTATTTCGGAAAAAAACATGAAACTCCTATTTTGGTACTTTTCTCTATGTTTTAATTCGATTTAAGAAGATTTCTATCTATTCTATCGTTTGACAATGGAAAATTCTAAAATACCCTGTCTTTGAGAAAAATACCTATTATATACTCCCTCTGTCCGCCTAAGATGTTCTCATTTTGACTTTTGGTGGTTTTTAAGGAGAGTTGAAAAAAGGTGAAAGTTTACCATAATACCCTTAATGAAAAATGGGTGGAGTGTATTAAATGAGGTGGGTGAGGTGTAATAAATAAAGTAAGTGGGGATAGTTGTGGTATTTTACTTGTTAAAAAATGAAATGAGAAGATCTATTGTGAACAAAGAAAAAGGGCTATTGAGAAGATCTATGGTGGACAGAGGGAGTACAATTCAAGTAGAATAAGACATTATTAAAAAAATCTGAATAGTTAGGATTGTGCGAATGTTTCTTCATGGAAAGATTCACTTATGCTAACTCTTGGCATGTTGGATTTTGATTATGCACTAAGAGAGCTTGCCCCTCCTGCCCTCATTGATAAAAGTACAGCTGAAGATAAAATAGTACATGAGAGATGGGAGAGGTGCAACATAATGGCTCTTATGCTCATTAAAAATTCCATCAGCCTAATCTATCAGGGGAGCTATTCCAGATTCATCCAATGCTAAAACATATCTGGCTTTCGTGGAGGAACAATTCAAAGCAACTTCTAAGGCCATGCTAGTACTCTTATTTTGAAGATGGTGACTACGAAATATGACGGGAATAGCGGTATTCGTGAGCACATCATGATGATGAATGACATGGCTCGTAAGCTTAAGGGATTAGACATGGAAATCAGTGAGGTTTTTCTGGTGCACATTATCATGACTTCTCTTCCTGCATCGTTTGAAGCCTTCAAGGTCAACTACAACACCTAGAAGGTCAAGTGGTCTTTGAATGAGTTGATCGCTATGTGTGTACAAGAAGAAGAGCGTCTGAAGCTGGACAAACCAGATGTGGCTTACCTCATGATTGCTAATCCAAAGAAGAGGAAGGGCAATGTCGATAAGAAGGAAGTTTCTAAATTAAAGAAACGTGATGCAAGTGCTGCTTCCAGCTCTAAGAACTCCAAAGGGAAGTCTTACTGCACGTTCTGCTGCAAGGAAGGACACAGACAGAAAGACCGCCAAGACTTTAAGGAGTGGCTGAAGAAGAAAGGTAATTATCTTTACATGATACTTGAGTCCTTTAATTTAAATCTTCTAACTAAGACATGGTGGTTTGACTCTGGTTCTATGGTTCATGTAACCAACTTACTTCAAAGATTACTTACAATCCATAAGCTGGAAAGGAAACGAAGAACACTTAAACGGGGGAATGGAACAGAACTAGTTTTCGAAGCCATGGGAACCTTAGAATTAATAATGAAAACTGGTAGGTCAATGATCAATTATTAGATAAATGATAAGATAGGTCACATAATATAATAAAATCGGGTCTTACATGAACTTCCATCACATTTCACTGCCGCGTTTACTCAGGGGCGGAGGAGGGGGCATGCCTGGGCAAGTGCCCCCGGCGAAATAGGTTTAGGGTACCCAATCGCCGATGGGACGCCGGATTTGCCCCCCCAGATCTGTCGCAGCGAAGAACTCCAGGCCTGCAAATCTTATACCGATCGAAGAAGATGACTGATGCCGGAAAAAAATACACCACGAAACGACGTCGTTTTGTTATTGGGTTTAAAAAAAAATCCTTTGACTCAGCCCAACAATCCACGGCCTGACAGCCCAGTACTCGCCAGTAGCCCAAATGCCAAAAAAACAATAAAAAAAGAGGATGAGAGGATGAGGTCATGAACTACGAACAAAAAAACGGAGGAGGGAGGATTAATCGCCAGAAAGTCAAAGTACGAAACCAGAACTACAATTCCATTCTGCTGAAGGATCGAAACCTGAATGCTGAAGGAGTGAAGGCAGATTCCATTCTTGAGCTCTTTTTTTGTTCTTCTGCATCTAATATTTAGATCTTCTCTCATTGTCTATGTATTATAGGTAAATTTTAATTATCCAATTTCGAGATTTGTTTCAATTCTTAGTATTTGAAGGTTTTGAATATTGCTAAATTATGTTTCGAATTTTGAATATTTATTTTGTTCTGTGGTTGCAGTGTGTTTGTTGATATTTAAATATTTGATAAATGTTAATGTAATTTCAAGTTCTAGAGACTAAGATATATGAAATTGTTGTTTTAAGGTTATTTATATTTTATTTTGTTACTTTATTATGAATCAGGAAATTTTGAGACGTGAGATGGATAAATTTGTTATTGATGATGAAGTTATTATGCAGCGCTTTCAAAAGTTGACATCTCGAAAAAAATTTCTACGGCCTTAAACAACTATTACTCCTTTACAGATATAGAAGGTATGTTTAGTTGCACTTTGCAAATTAAGGTAGTTACTATTCTGAATTTTGTTTATTTATTAAATGAAGTTTTGCCCCCCCTCCCCCATGAAGTCTTCCCTGGCTCCGCCACTGCGTTTACTCTCTTACATAAGAGCATAGTTTGGCTTAAAAAATTGGGAAATGTTTGGTTCACAAACACAATGGTCACAAACTTTACAAATTTGCTATTTGTGAATTTCAATGAAAAAATTTAAATAGTCTAAAATGATTTTAAAATGAAATTTTAAACCATAAATAGTAAAATTGTGAAGTTTGTGAGGATTCTATTTGTCAACCTAGCATTGTAAAAAATTTGTACTCCCAAATGCTTGCAATCGGCGATTTAAATACCCAAAAAATAATTACTCTCACCAAAATAATGAAATAGAAAAAAACAACAAGAAAAGGCATGCATAAGTCTAATACCATGACAAATAACCAAGCTTGATTGGTTTCTAATCAATTTCCCATGAAAACCACAAACTCGTGAAATTAACTTTTCCCAATCGTGGCCACCTTACCCGACGACTAGCCTGCAGCCACCACACAGTTTGCCCGCGCGCCCTCTTCGCCCAGCACCGCCGCTCTTCCATGGAGGAGCGGGTCCCACCTGCCGGCGGAGACGAGGGCTGGAAGGGTGTCCCCCCACCCCCCTCGGAGACCTACGTGGTTCAGATCCCCCGCGACCAGGTGTACCGCGTCCCTCCCCCAGAGAACGCCAAATTCATCGAAACCTACCGCGGCAAGCAATCCAAGAATGACACAAATCTCCCCAAACGTTGTTGTTGTTGTTGTTGTTGTTGTTGTTGTTGTTGGTTCCTCACCCCTCTCCTCTTCATCTCCATCGCCATCTCCATTTTCCTCGTCACCGTCAACGTTCTCTACCCCCCCATACCCCCCCAATTCTCCGTCAC